GGTCATAGTCGAAGTAGTAGTCGTAGTCGTAGCAGTAGCAATAGTAGTAGTAGTAGAAGTAGTAGTAGTAATCGGAGTAGCAAAAGTAGTAGTAGTAGTAGTAGTAGGAGCAGTAGTAGTAGTAGTAGTAGTAGTAGTAGTAGTAGTACTAGTGTCACTAGCAGTAGCACTAGTCGTAGTAGTAGTAGTAGTAGTCGTCGTAAGAAAGTGTAATAGAAGTAACAGTCGTAGTAGTAGTAGTACTAGCCGTAATAGTAGTAGTAGTCGCAGTAGTAAGAGTAGTAGTAGTTATACGAGTCGTAGAATTAGAAGTAGAAGTGGTAGTAGTAGTAGTAGTAGTAGTAGTAGTAGTAGTAGTAGTAGTAGTAGTGGTAGTGGTAGTAGTAATAGTAGTAGTCGTCGAAATACTAGCAGTGGTAGTATTAGCAGTAGTAGTAGCAATAGTAGTAGTAGTAGTAGTAGTAGTAGTAGTAATAGTAGTAGTAGTAGTAGTAGTAGAAGTAGAAGTAGTAGTAGTAGTAGTAGTAGTAATAGTAATAGTAGTAGCCGTTGTAGTAGTAGTAGTAGTCGTAGTAATGGTCGTCATCGTCGTAGAAGTAGTCGCCGTAGTAGTAGAAGTAGGAGTAGTGGTAGTAGTAGTAGTAGTAGTAGTAGTAGTAGTAGTAGTAGTAGTCGCCGTGGTAGTAGTAGTAGTAGTCGTCGTAGTAGTAGTAGTAGTAGTAGTAGTAGTAGTAGTAGTGGTAGTAGTAGTAGTAGTAGTAGAAGTAGTAGTAGTAGTAGTAGTAGGAGGAGGAGGAGGAGGAGGAGTATTAGTAGTAGTCGTAGTAAAAACCGTAGTAGTCGTAGTAGTAGCGAGAGTAGCAGTAGTCCCACCAGCCCTTTGGGCGACAAGTGGTCTTAGGATAACCTCTTTCTTTTTCCGCAACCCCTCTTCCCGTCGGGGAGGGGAGCCCTCCCCCTCCCCTCCCTGAGGTTTTGTTAGAGGGATCGCGAGGTGTCGGGATATTTTTGTCACCTCTCACGATGATCGTAGCCCCCGAAGGGGGGACGAACATCGAGTACCCACTCTTTTGACCGACCGCTGCCAAGATGGGCCCAAGAGGCCCTCCAGGGCTCCCCAAAAGCCCCCAAGAGGATTCCACTAGCGCCCCAAGAGTCCCCCCAAGAGGGCTCCATGAGGCCTCCAAGAAGCCTCCGGGAGGCCCCCAAGCGGCCTCAGAGAGCCCAAGATGACATCCAAGATTGCTCAAGATAGTCCGAGCTGGCTCAATTTGGTGCCAACATGCCCCAAGAAGACCCGAAACCGCTCCAATAAGGCTCGAGATGGCCACGGAGCCTTCCCAGGATGCCGCCGAGATGCCCAAATCCTTTAAAGCATTACCGGAACTTAATGCATCCCACCAGCCCTTTGGGCGACAGGTGGTCTAAGGAGGGTCTCTGTCCTCTTCCACAACCCCTGTTCCATTCGGGAAGGGGACCCCCCCCTGAGTTTTTGTTGTTGGGAGGGGCCGCGAGGTGTCAGAGGGTCATTTTTCGGCCCCTGAGAGGGCCAATCTTTGCCACCCCTGACGAGGATCGTGGCCCCCGAGGGGGGGGGGGCGAACACCGAGTATACCCCCTCCTTTGACGACCCAGCAACTGCAAGCGTGTCAGCTGTGGGGTTCGAGCCCACGCGCAGTTACCTGCAGTGGATCTTCAGCCCTTCACCTCAGCCAGTCGGGCAACCTGACATCCGAGTGCGCACGAGGCGCACGACCCCTGCATCTCTCCTCATGGCGGCGCCGTCGGGGCGCCGCTGTTGGCGGGCGGCGCGGCACCCGGAGCAAGGAAGGATAGTAGGGCAGAGGGGCACCAACGCGGACATCCCAGGCGTCCCTCGTCGCCACGGCTGGAAATCGGCACTCGGGTGCACCGTCCTATGCACGTGGATCGCGCGCCGCAGAGACGGGGCGGCACCTGACAACCCTCTTCGCGTCCCGCCGAGACTGCGGTGACCTGGCCGCAGAGCAGTGCTCACGGGCGTCGCGAATGGCACCCTCCGCCTTCCACGGTCGTTTCTCCTCACCCCCCCGCCCAGGCGGCGAGGGACGCCGGCAGCTCTAGCACCGAGGACTACCACAGTACCCCCCAGGACGGGGACGTACCATCCCCGTCCCAGGTGTCCTCTGCCACGACCCCCATCAGCGCCAACGGAGCCCTGACCGCCACAATCAAGAAGATTCAGCGAGCAGGCGGTGAACCCAGCGCGGCCTGAGCCAGGAATTGTACTCAGCGCGGTGGGGGCATCGGAGACCCCAGCCGACACGACGCCGCCTTCTTTCGCACTTTCCTCCACCTCCTGGCCTCGTCGCCGCCCTGGTCATCGCGCGGCTGCACCGCTGCGACCGTGGGTTGGCCTGCTGGCCCCACCCGGGCCTGCCGGCCTCTCCCTTTGCCTGGCGTTCAAACCAGCACGCGGTCCCCTTGGCAGCTCTGCCAGTGGGCCTGCTCGCTCGCTGCTCCCCCCGCGGCCCCTTTCCTTGGGCACCCTGGCCGCACGCCCTCCCGCGCCGCAGGTCAGTAGATCCCGGCGTCCTCCGCCCCAGCTGCTGGGCCCAGGCCAGCTCCTTTCCGGCCCCCCGATCATCTGGAGTGGTCACTGTTGGCTGCTCAGTCGCTTGGAAGGTCAGGAGATCTCCGTGCTCAGCCGCCCCGTTGTTCGACGTGTATTTCCCCCCACATGGTGTGGTTACTGTTGGCTGCTCAGTCGCATGGAAGGTCAGAAGATCTGTGCTCAGCCGCTTCGCTTTTCGACGTGTTTTCCCCCCCGCCCTGGGCCTGCGCCCGGCTGCTTTCGGGCTGCTTCCCCCCAGCTGCTGCCCTGGCGCCGCCGCTGGCTCCCCCCCCCCAGCGCCCGCCCTGCCGCCGCCAGGATTTGCCCTGGGTGGGCTCGGCTTCCTCTCTCTCCCGCCCGCGCGGGCTTCCTCTCTCTCTCTCCCTCGTGTGCACCGCGGCCCAATTTGCACGTTGTGCGCCCCACTAATGCCACATCACCGGAGCAGTAACCTCTGCCCAGCCGCCGACGCAAAGAAAAAGTGTTCGCTTGTGTGTGTGTGTGTGTGTTTGCGTGCGTGCGTGCGTGCGTGCGTGCGTGCTTGCGTGCGCATGTGTGTGTGAGTGTGTGGTAAAGTGTATGCGCGTGTGCGCGCGTGCGTGCGCACGCGCGTGTGTGTGTGTGTGTGTGTGTGTGTGTGTGTGTGTGTGTGTGTGTTTGTGTGCGTGCGTGCACGTGCTTATTGCTGCTACATTCTGGTACACATGCACACGAATACACGCCCGTGTATTTTTGGGGGGCGTCGCGGTCACGCCCGCGGCGGCGTGGCGTACGTCAAGTCAGGCGGGAACGCGCGGCCCAAGAGCCAGTTCAAACCCCGTCAGCACACGCAGACATACACTAGGAATACAAGTACACATGTACACAGCCCATAACTAACTGTAGAGAAACATCTGGATATGATCATATGCGCGGGCACGCGCGCACACATACGCACGCACGCACGAACGCACGCACGGACACAGGCACACACACACACACACGCACGCACGCACGCACGCACGCACGCACGTACACACTCACACGCACACACACACACACACACACACGCACACGCACACACTTAACCGCATATTCTTACACGGTGAATAAACAAACGGGAGGCCTGTACGCGTGCAAGGCCTTCCGTGCCATGTAGATGATGGTACAGCGACGCTGCTCCCGTACAGCAGCTGCGGCGGTGAGCCGTTGTTCGGAAGGCCCTGAAGGTCTCTGGGACTCCTCGCCATGGATGTCCAAATCCTCCCCGAAGTGGCCCACCCGTGGAGGCCACACGCGCGCAGCTGGCTCGGCCGGTCGCCGTCGCACGAGGAGGTGGCCGCAGCTCACAACACAGGCGTGCCCTCCAGCGGGCAGCCATCCAGAGGCGCAAGCAACCAGCAAAGTGGTCCTTGGAATGCCTGGGGCGGCCGATGAGCTCGCGAGAACCAGGTTCGAGAAAGATAAGCTTAAGAGTGAACAAATCCAAGGAAAAGAAGTCTCGCGAGGACGAGGGTTGAAGAAAGAGAAGCCTCGCGACGACGAGGCTCGAGGAATATCGAGCGAGGCCGGCATACACAAAAGCTTTCGGAGCGCCGCACTGATTTTTTGGATCGGCGCTGGGGACCCCCTGGCGGCGCTTACAGCGCCGACCCTGTCGCGCTCCGCTGGCCAGGGAGGGGGCTCCAGCGCCGATCCAAGAGATCCGCGCGAAGCTCCGAGGGTTTATGCCTATACAGGTTTTTCTTGTTCGGTCCTTGGAATTCCTGGGGCGACCGATGAACCCATGAGGACGAGAAGGGATTCGAGGGAAAGGGCCGCATCCTGAACTGAACTTTCAAGCAGGCCTGCTGCGAACATTGGAATGGCCCAGCGTGAGATCGTCCATACATTCGCACTGCAGAAAAAAAGAGGGCCACCCTCCAATCAAGGTTCATCCCTGCCGGGACCATCTCGGAAGATACACCCTGCGTCTCATGCGCTCCTCGCTTGCCGATCACTCTCCTGATATCTGGCTGAGTCGATGCCGCGCCCGAAGAATCCGATTCATGTTGCGCAACTCGCGTTATCACATTCTGCAGCTCACCAATACCAACTAGTGTGATGTAAGAACGACCCATGGCGCAAATGTAAACATATGTGTATAAGTTCGTTTAGATCGGGAGAGAGAGAGAGAGAGGGCAATAAGGAGAGACAAAGAGAGAGAGATCCGAACCGACAAAACAACCACCGTCAACTGTTGATACTCCACCGAACTGTGTCTTCTCCTCCATCTTCTCGTCTCGTCGTCTCACTCCTCTCGATCCGCTCCCTCCTGCCCCCTGCCAACGCATCCTCCCTGATCCCGTTCTCCCGGCTCTCATAGTCGTGTCTCATGATCCTCTTCATTATTCTTCGTATCACATCCCTCGTCCTTCTCCCCTCTCGCCGTAGCTATCAGGAAGGCGTCGGAATTGCCGCTCACGTCGGCAGGAATCCACTCGACCGCCTGGATGGCCTGCGAATGCAGAGACAATGGAACATGGTTCGAGCAGTCCTGAATACAAGTCTTCCTCCCTCCCCCACCCAATCCTCGTCCTTCCTATGTTTGCTCTCCTGCTTCTCCAACTTCCCCAACTCCTCGCCCAACCCCCTCATCCTCACACTCCCTTCCCCCGCCGACTCTTCTTTCCACCTCCTCCATCCCCCTCGTCCTCCCCCACACTTCCGCCTCATCTCCCATTCTCCTCCCACCGCTGCCTGCCCCTCCCCTCTCCTCCCTATTCCGCCTCGCCGTGCCCCTCCCCAGCCTCTCCCTCCCCCCCCCTCATTCTCCTCCTGCTCATTTCCCTCCTCCTCCTCCTCCTCATCTTCCTCCTCCTCCTCCTCCTCCTCCTCCTCCTCCTCCTCCTCTGGCGACGACGACGACGGCGAAACTGCCATTGAAGTAACGGATGTAGAAGCCAATAGATAGTGTCCCTGACAGGTCAAACAACTCTTGACCGTCAGCGGCAGGACACTGGCATGGTCCAGGTTAAGACAGGCGCACCCGTATCAGCATGTTGCTCTCAAGTGGAGGGCGCACACTGTGTGTTCAAGTTGAAGACATCTTTGTGTGAAATTCAGGGGCGAGCTGGACACGTGATATGATTAGTTCACACTCTCGAGGTCGTAGCTGAACTCTTGGCATCACACACGGCTCCGCTTGCTCCCGAAACTGAAGCGAATATGCGAGAAGGGTACGCGCGAAAGGAGGAGGGGGCCATACCAAGAACAAGAGATGGGGTACACAACAACAAGAGCAATGAAGAGATCGGGATGGGGGATGTGAGCCCTAGAACAATCGGGACGAGTGAAGAAAGAGAAGGGCATACAACGAAGCGGGAGAGGTGAACAGGCCCCTCTCCATTCTTTGTTGAAATAAAAGAAGGAAACCAACCAACACCTGTACAACAACAAAACAAACCGTTTTCGAAGGGCCGCACTGATGTTTTGGATCTGCGATAGGCTCTCATGTCTGGCGCACGGAGCACGCCAAAGGCGGCGCCTGAGGTGCTTCCAAGGGAATCCAGCGCCGATCCGCAAAATCCACGCAGAGCTCCGACAGTGCACGTTCTTCTTCGAATACCCCTCCCCATCCCCTCGCCCCCCCCCCCCCTCCTCCGTCGCCCTCCTTCCTGACCTGGTCACGCAACTCATTCCCTGATCGGCCCCGCCGCCCGCATCCCGCCCTCCTCCCCCCTCCCCCATCCTCCTCGTCCCAGGGAGGAAAAGAAATCAGACGTATGAGGGATGAGGCCGAGGAACAGGAGGCGAAGTGGGGAGGGGGAGGCCCCCATCGTCCTCCTCCTCCTTCTCCTCCTCCTTCCCCCCTCGTTCGACAAGAATCCATAACCCCCCTGGCTAGAATCCTAGCAGCCCTCTCTGGCCGGTCGTGGTGTAGCTGCCCCCCCCCTTCCAATCACATTCTTCTTCTTCGGGGAAGATTTGGCCCCTCCCCATACCCACTCCCGTGGGTCTGGAGGGCAGGGGCCACGAAGTGCCAAAAGGTCTTTGTGGGCCTCGGCGAGAAGGCAAAACTCAATGGTTATCCTTTGATCGTGTGTCAATGTCGGCCGCCTGGAAGTGTGACGCTAATTTACCACCGCCTACTTATTTCATCGAGATCCTCCAAGATGGCCCTCAAAAGTGCCCCACGAGGCACCCAAGAGGCCGCAAGAGAACCCCAAGAGGACCCCAATGTGTCCCCAAGAGGCTCCCATGAGATCCCACAGACGCCCCAGAATGCTCCCCCGAGGCACCCAAGACTCTCCAAGAGACCCCTGGACTCGCCATGAGGCCCCCAAGACGCACCAAGAGGACCCCAATAAGCAACCCAAGAGACATACGAATAGACTCCGGGAGGCATCCAATAGGCCCGTGGCCTTTCTGCTCGCCCTTCATCCCTTACCATTATTAGGGCGGGCCAGGAGTTTCGCCTGTGACTCCCCCATCACCACGTATGATCCTGAAACTGAAACATGGCAACCGCTTCACACATGGAGGTCGGGTAGTTTTCAAAATGTGGCTCCCGCCTTAACGCCGCACATATTCGTCTACACAAATTGCAAGGGTTTCACGGACTGTGGGCGACCCGTTTTCCAAATGTGGCGCTCGCCTTCGCGCAGCGCACATTCGTTGTAACATGTTGCAAGGGTTGTACATATTGAAGTCGGATCCTTTTCAAAATGTGAGTCTCGCCTTAGCGTCGCGCACACTCGTTGCAAGCATTTGCACAAAGTTTACAGGTTGAGGGTGGTTCCTTTCCAAAATGGTGCTCTCGCCTTAATGCCGCGTACATTAGTTGTTGTTTGAATGTGCAAGAGTTCCACGGGTTCCCATGATCCGCGTACCAGACATTGTGTTTTGGGAGGGTTCAGGATTCTGAGGGTGCAACAGGTCGATTGGTTCGCGGGGTTGATATTCGAAGAATGAAGTTCTGGCACGATTCATGACCGCCAAGACGCAGCACTCAAGTTGATCCGTGGCGTTGGAATCCTGAGAACAATGTGCTGGCATGCTCCACGGGTTTCAAACGATTGTCTTCCAACGGAGCAATTCCCCGTGAAGTGACCCGCTGTAGGGGCCTATCACGAGGGAGCGTGGAGGGAGGCATCGTTCGTGACTCGTGGGTTTGCTCTGGTCCTCCTCCTGTTCCTCACTCCCCTGTTCCTGCTGCTCCCACTCCTCTCTCCCTCCTCCCCCTCCCCCAAAGATTCCTCCTCCGATTCCGCCTCCGATTTCTCCTCCATCCCCCCTCTTGGAGTACGACATCCTTTATTCTTGCACAGCATGCTCCTCCATATCCCTGATAAGGGCAACTCGCCTGGGAACAATTTATGGATGGGCTGGTGGGTCATGCGAAGCGTCTAGAATTTGAAATGGATCCACACGTCGCCACGAGGTCGCCCCACGAGGCCCAACAGAAGCCCACAACACGCCCAAACACCGTGACACTCGTCCCATCATGTCGGGTTATCCTCTTTCAGGGCATTCGGAAACTAACATGCGCATGTCTATCAGATGCACGGACTGCGCCTTTCAGCAGAGTCGTAAAGCCAAATCAATCGAATTGGAAACCCACATTCTCCTCGTGATCCTCCTCCTTCTCCTCCTCCTCCGCCTCCTCCTCACAATTCCACTGGCATCAAGTGTGCCGCCAAGTCCCGCTCTGGCTAACCACTATGGTCGCCCTGCTGCGGCCTTGGCCTGTAAGCTACGCATCAAACCTCACTGGGGAGGCCGCGGGGCAGGGGCGGAGGCAGGGCGCGGGGAATGACGACGGCGACGACGACCAGAAAGAGAAGGAGAAGATCTCGACGACGAGACGAGAAAGAGGAAGAGAAGGAACGACGGATGAGCAACGGATGACTACGACGAAAGAAGGACGACGATGAGCGGGAAGGCCTTCCCCAATCTGGCTGGCGACCCTGGAACCTCTCCTCGAAGGAGCCCTGCCCGTGCGGAGGACTCCCCAGGGACCGCGCACAGGGCCCCATTGGCAGTCTGACCGACCTGCTTGTCACGTCGACCTGGGATCGGCGATGTGTGGCCGAGACATCGGCGAACCCACACGTTCCTGGGCGGAATTGACTAACTATCAGGCCCGTGGCGGCGATCAGTGGGCGTTTTGGGCGTCGATGCTTTCCTGCCTGAGCCTATCCCCCCCTTTCGCTGACCCTGGCTTGCGGGTCGGAACTCGGCTCTCTGGCGGCCGTTCGGGACGATCCAGACACCCGAGGAACACTCTGAGGCCGGGCGCAGCTGCTGGAGAGGGAGAGCGTCTCGAGGCCAGAAAACCGCCGAGGGTCGACGAAAACGTCCGAACACCCCAAACCTGGTACCCAACAACTTCCCCCCCCCCCTGTCGGTGCTCCTGGCCGCTGTCCTCTGGCAACCGAATCGCTTGGGCTGGGCACGCCACCAGGTACAAGCGAGGTACTACCAGAAGAAACGCTACATAAAGAATACATTGGCTGTTCCTCCACGACATAAACCAACGGAACGGCCCGAACCCCTGAGCCCCACAGCATGCCAATATGGACCATCGCGTGCTTTTGACGACTATTGGCTGCCATAAAAGACGTGTGATGCTCCACGCTTCTTATGGCAGCGATGAGACCACAGCGGTTCCTACCTTAGCACCCTGACGATACTCTCCTCTCTGGGCGGAACGGGCGGCCCTCCACCCTCGCCGCCCGAAAGGGGCGCGGCGGCCGCGCGGGGGGGTGGCCTCGCGGTGGAAGTAGTCGTCTATGGACGAGGACGCCACCTTCGGTGGGAACGTCAGAGCGGGAGAACACATCACCATCATCATCATCATCATCATCATCATCATCATCATCATTATCATCATCATCATCACCACCACCACCACCACCACCACCATCATCATCATCATCATCATCATCATCATCATCATCATCATCATCATCATCGTCATCATAATCATCAGCATTGTCATCATCATCAGCATCACCATGAGCATCATCATCAGCATCATCAGCATCCGCATCAGCACCACCATCATCATCATCATCAGCATCATCATCGTCATCATCATCGTCGTTGTCGTCTTCGTCGTCGTCGTCGCCACTATCATCGCGGTCCTCGTCCTCGTCCTCGTCCTCACCCATCCTTTTCTTCATTCGCATCATCATCATCAGTATGATCACCAACACCATCACCATAATCATCGTCATCATCATCACCATCACCATCATCACTATCATCATAACCAACATCACCACCAACATAATCATCATCATCATAATCAGCAATATCATCATCACTACCACTACCACTATCGCCATCACTATTAACAGCATCATCATCATCACTATCATCAATACCATCATCACTATCATCATTAGCATCATTTTCAGCACCATGGTCAGCAATAACACAAGCGCCATCATCATCACCGCCATCGTCATCAGCAGCATCAGCATCAATACCATCACCATCAACGTCACCATCATCTCCACCGTCGTCAGCATCATCATCATCAGCCTCAGAACCATCATCATAAGCAGCATCAGCACCATCGCCATCACCATCACCATCAACATCACCATCACCATCATCGCCATCATCGCCATCAGCACCACCTCTTGCGGGAACGTCGGTCATCGCTGGCCGTGAGTCGTCCGACTTACTTGGCGGTCGTCGTGGTCGTCGTCGGACCACGTCAATTGTCGTCGTCGGTACTCCGTCGACGTTCGTCGCTTGTCGTCCTCATCATTGCCGAAGTCTCCGACAGCGCCGGGAACGCCCCAGATCGGCGGCACCGGCTGGAGGCCACTACCATAGCCGTCTATGGGGGAGGACGCCACCTCTAGCGGGGAAGGGGGAGGGAGGATCCGAATCGAATCAAACTCGGGGAGCATTGAGCCAGACATGTCCTCGTGAGAATCCAGGCCATCCCTGGTGTCTTTCACCGATATATGACACGCCAAATATTCCAGATTCTCCAGATTGCGCTGTTCTCCAGATTCCAGGACATTCCAATCACCGCCCAAAAAAAAACCGCAGCCGAGTTAAGCCCCAGGGTGTGCCGACGCATTTCCAAGAGAAGCTCCATCTTCAAGCTATGTTTCCTCTGCGGCTCGACGTGGACATTGATTAACTGGAGGCTGCCAGCTGTACCGTGAAACGTGAGCGAGTGCACCCGGCCTGGGTCAATCACGAGCGGCCGAGGAGCACCTTCAAACTGCGCAGCCAACGTTTTGCGAATATATGTAGCAACGCCGCCACCATGCGAGAGGAGGACAGAGCCGAAAAACACAAAGTCGGGAAAGTCACGCTCGAGACTCGATAAATCAGATTCCGAACCATGAGTTTCTTGCAACATTACAACATCATAGTTACGGTACAAACCACGGGCCTGGCACTGCGCCAAAAACGGCACCTGAATACCAAGAAATTAGACTACACGCTCGCGAAAATACAAAGTGCCGTTGGCATTTCCACCTGAAGTGCACAGGGGAGGGGAGGAGGAGGAGGAGAAAGAGGAAGAGGAGGCGGAAAAGGAGGAGGAGGAGGGGGAAACACTCCGTCGCTTTCGGCTGCCAGGCAGCCGCCGTCGCTTCAGAGGTGGAAGCAGATCAGGCTCGGGAATATCAGAAACACGGCCGCGATTATCTTAACCCGTCGAGTGAGCGGAGGCAAATCGAACTAGCGCGTGAATTCGCATTCCTCACCGTCGAGCAACCGTCCTGCCAAGAACACCATCCATCAGGAGGAATGGCCGACAAGACCCTGAACAAGTCCAGGAATGCCCTCGGCCATCTCCCTCGCGATCCCGATCTCCTGAAGAATGGAGAACTGCGGCTCGAAGGTGAACGTGCCATCCAAGGGGTCGACGCACTTGACCAACTCGTACGGCTCATCCTAGTAGATCAGGTAGCACACGCCTTGGAACGGGTTACAGCCCAACTTCATCTCTGGCTTCCACAAGTTCTGTCTTTGCAGAATGTCCTTGCATATGGTCCAGCACTTGCTCCTCGCAAAGCTCCTCTTCCTCACCTCGATGGGTAGATCACGACCCACGCGGATCTGATGCATGGTGCCAGACCTCGCGTCACGCCACGTGGGGGGCGACGCGCGAAACTGGTCGTAGAAGCTGTTCGCGTCCTGCTCCGGCTCGAACTTCACCACGCAGGCCGTCTGCATGTTGCGAGCCCAGGCCTGACACCGCTCACGATACGTGGCAGGAAGAGCACTCTTCATCGTTAAGAACTGCTCGTCCAGCTTGGTCGTCAGTAAGAGCCGTGGGAAGCTTCGAACCCAGATCTTTGCACAGTTGGGAGCTTCTCCTTCATCGGCGAGGTTGCCCACGTTGCCTGCGAGCACGCGAGCGCGCCCGCAGTCTGGGGCGTTGCCGAAAGACCTCACCGAAGCTGCCGTAGACGCAGCAACAGAGGCGGCGGCCGACAGAGCCGCTGCCAGCTCAGCAAGCTTCTTCTCTATGGCGTCGATCTTGAGCGGCGCGCCACGCGGGGGCCGAGGGCCCACCGCGGCCATGGAATATTCGCCGCGCGGTTCGCCCTCGCAGTCCTGATGGTCGCGCGAGTCCTGAAGCACGCGGATCTGGTCCTCCAGCTTCGCGGACCTCTCATCGGTCTCGGCCTGCGCCGCGGGCGCGCGCAACGCAAGCTGGTTCGCGGAGGTCTGGGCCTCCGAAACGGCAGTCGCGAACATGTCGAGCGTCTCCTTGGTCTCCGCGGCCTGCTGCCGAGCTGCTGCCCCCTATTCCTTGAGAAGGGGCCTCGATGCTCTCCAGAGAGACAGGCATCGCGGCAGGAGAAGAGCAGAGCAACTGTCGAGCAACTGTCGAGCGACTGTGACATGGAAATCGGGGAGATGATTGCTGATCAATCTTGTTCGAGCGTCGAACGCTGTCGCAGCACTGAGGCCAGAGGCCCCACGATAAAAAATAGCGGCGGCAGGGGCACGTGCAAACAAAAAGAAAGAGAACAAGGAATGAAACTTCGAGGCTTCTGGGGGGGGCCCTCTCGGGCCTCTTACATTCCTGGGGAGCGAGCTTGATTCGCACTCCTCCTAGTCGCCGCCTCGGGCGCCTCAGCCGGGGCAATGACGAGTCACTCGCCGCGAACTTCATTGCGAACGGGCAGACGATTATCGAAATAATAGATTGCAGGCGAACGGCTTGCACGGCGTGCCAGCAGGCTGCCCCCGGGGCGATTTAACGGGTGCTCTGCGCGCACCTGCATAATAAATTCTCAATGGAACGGGCGCCCGGCTCGGGCCATACTACTTTGTTATAGGGAGGCTATTGGTAGCGGAGCAATGCCTGGTGATCGCCATCACACTCAAACAAACGCACGCACAGAGGCTGATCAGACCAGGCGCGGATGAAACATAAATGGCTGCCAGCAGGCAACGTCCGGGCGACAGTAAACGCGCACTGAATGCGGAAAAGCATGCGCGGCTGGCTGGCAGCATCCGGGCGGCGTCGAAAAACATAGACTAAATGCGGAGGGCCATGCGCAACTGCTAGAAGCAGCGCTCTGATAATGACAAAACGACAAGCTTGATGCGGAAAGCCGCACGCGGCTGCAGATGCAGCATCCGGGCGTCGGCGAAGGCCATAGCCTGAATGCGGAGAAACGCTGATAGAAACAGCGTCCAGATGGCAGCGAAGAAAATTAGCACTGTGGGAAAGGTCTCACTCACGTGGACTTCTTTGTCCCCTTCGATGCCAGCGCGGACCCTTGCCTGGCACAGCGCTTCCCATCAGTTGCGCCCACCTGCACTGTGGCTCCTGCCTCAACGTGGGATGCATCCTCGAGAAATCGGGGCTGTGCACCCTGCGGTTCCGGCGAAGCCACGATGCGTGGCGCTTGCAGGTGATGTAGACGCTGTGTGGGCTGTGTCCCGCTGTCCCACACGGAGATTGCGCCCTGCCCCGGCGCGCTCGCTATCTCCGCCGGCGACGCAGTCGGCGTGGAATTGTTCCAGGACGCGACGCTGGCCGATGAGGAACTCGTGATAGTGCACGGCGTACTCGGTGCTGATGATGCGGCGAAACTGCCCTGCGGCGCAGCGGGCGATGGCGCTGGTGCTACCGATGGTATCGGCGTAGCGCTGCCAGCCGAGGAACTGCTCTGCGCTGCCGCAGCCGCAGTCGCAGTCGCCATGGCTTCGGGCATGCATATGTCCCCGTCGTCACCCTCCTCCTCGGGGATCGCGGGTGGCAGGTTGCGGCGTCTGCCCAGGCGGCGGCCATCGCACCCGGGGTGCTGATCAGCGGTGGCCTTGTCCTCTGGCTGCGGCGGCTGCCTGATTGCGTTCTGGGACACCATGAACCACATGACCGCAAAAATACTGAGCCCGATCGTCATGCCCAGGAACATAGAAAAGCAGGTCATGTAGCACATGTACCAGTGGTGGTTCAGATCGAAAGGCGGTGGCGGCCCTGGGGTCGGCTGACCCTTTACCTTGCCGGTGCACGCGGCGATCACCGAGGCGATCATGGCGGCGTCGGGATGCCTGGTGCCGAAATTGCGCCTCTTGGTGCCGAAGAACGAAAGCAGCAGGCCGGTCTCCATCACCTTCGTGAGTGAGTCGGCAACCATACTCCAGGTAGGCACCCAGGTCAAGCGCAGCCCGCAATAAAGGTGCAAGGACTCATTGATCATGGAGGCGACGATGCGGAACCGCTTGCCGGTAGACTGGCCGACGTCGGAGTGGATGTGCGTGACGAGGCCCTTGCTGTCGCTAAACACCTCCCCACGGCGCCTCAGGCTG